TCCCTGCCCAGGGGAGGGTGTGGAGCTGGATGAGCTTTAAGGTCCCTTCAACCCAAACCAGTCTGGGATTCTATGAGATTTTGTCTGTAATCAATGCTGAGGCACGAAGCTGTTTTTAGGCCTTTCTCTTGTCCGATGCCCTGTTCCAGTGTCTGTGCTGTTGAATGCTGCTGCCTGTTGGCTCTCAGCCTGGCAGAGTGACAGCTGCTCACTGCACCAGAAGCTGAAGCTTTGAGCAGCTTTGGGGGGTTTTGGCATCAAAGAGTTTGCTGTGCTCTAATCAAAGTGTTTTGCTCTGCAAGGATCACAAGCCCTGGACCAGCGCCAGGCCTGTACTGGGCGATGCAGAACCATGGCTGCAGCTCCCAACTTAGCAACTGCTCCTGCTGCTCCCATCACCATCCGCTGCACCACAGCGACTGCAGACAAGCTGTGCCCTGGAGAAAGCTACACCAAAAGCTGCTGCTGATTTCTCTGGTGCCATACAGTGAGTGGCAGCAGCTTTTCAACCCACAGCACCCCTGTGCTGCCTCCCCTAAACCCATCAGGCTCAGCAGTGCCAAAGCTTGCTCAAGAGCTGAGCACAGGGCTGCTCCCTGTGCAGAGCACCCGAGGTGAGGCCAAGCTCTGGGAGACCCACACAGGCAGTGATTTTTAACATCTAACTGCTGATGGATGAAAAGCATCCATAGAAGCTCCTCAATTGTCAGAACTTTGCCAGGTTTTCAAATAAACTCTATCTTCATGTCATGCAAGCCCAAGTTGGAGAGGAATCTGCTGTCCTCCACTGCCTCCACACACACTTCACACCACAGACACTCAAAAAGCCCTTCCATGAGCAGGAAGACCGCACAGAAGCAACATGTCATGTGGAGAGGGATCCCAGCAACCCTAAGGACCATGGAAGATATGGAACAATGACACAGATCTGCTTCTCAGAGCACACAAATTCAAACACAACTAACAGAGACAAAACAGGGGCATTGTCAGGCTTGTGCTGCCCAGTGGAAACCCAAAACATCAAAAGTTATCCTCATGCAGAAAGAGGGGAAAAGGGTTTCCAGGCACAGAAAGCAGAAAGCCACTCAAAGCAGCAGCTGAGAGGGCCATGCTACCAAGAACAAGGCTTCTGTGAACAAGGTTAGGAACTGGGGTTGATTTCTTCACAGAACATGTTTCTGGAGTGCTTTGCTTCACTGGTTGCCCAGACTCAGACTTACCTCCTCACGGAGTTCCTTCATCCTCTCCTCAAAGTCATAATCCTTCTGCTTCTCCTCCATCTTCTTCTTGTTCACTTCAAAGCGTTTCTTCACCTGGTCCAGCGTGGAGCGCTCCACCCGCATGGACATGCCCAGATTTCTCTGGTCTAGAAAACAGGAGTGGAATCAGCCACACTGAGCAATACCTGCAGCCTCAATGGTCTGCACACAGTCCCCATCCCTGGTCCCAGTTTAAATACCTCAGCACAACAGCCTCTTGCTGGCTGTCATAGAATCACAACCTGGTTTGTGTTGGAAGGGACTTTAAAGCTCATCCAGTTCCAACCCCCTGCCACGGGCAGGGACACTTTCCACTAGAGCAGGTTGCTCCAAGCCCCTGTGTCCAACCTGGCCTTGAACACGGACAGGGATGGGGCAGCCACAGCTTCTCTGGGCACCCTGTGCCAGGGCCTCACCAACCCTTGTATTACATCACATCACCAATCTGTACATTACTTGTAGCAAGAAGGGGAACACAGCCTGTTCTTCCCAGGTTCCCGTACAGGATGCTCCCCATCATGTTGGTGTTCTGACACATCAGGAAATTTAGTCTTGGACCAGTGGCAAAACCCAGGGCTGGAGTGTTGAAAAAGGAGCCAGAATTAAACTGACAGGCTGGCACCTTGCAGCAGAGATCCTGATTACACAGGAGCACAGGGCTGGACCCAGCTCCAGGGTCAAACTGCCCCACTCCTGTCTCTGCTCATCCTCAGCAAACCAGAACCTCCATCTTGGTGAACTCTGATCCCTACCCTGGAGCTCAGGGACCAGCTAGTTTTGAGCTTTGTACTCAACTTCTACAAATAGAAGCTTCCCATCCAAAAAAACCCAGGCTAGTCCCATACCTTCTACTTGTCTAAGAATTTCTTTAAAGTTTAGGAGCTGTAAAAAAGCCTCTCTCCAGATTTTCAGAGAAGCCATCAGGATTTGCTGCCCCTGGGCTTTTCACAGCAGACACTGTGTGGGGAAGATACATCCACTGGACAAGGTAAACTGGTATCTGTTTCTTCTTCCATGAACATGGCCCAGGACCTTGAAAGGTGCCAGAAGATAAAGGCAGCATCTGCACAGCTCTCATGAGCAAACACTGCCCACATCCTGTTCTCCAGAGCACACTTTGATCCATGTCTAAGTGTTCAGCCCTCAGATACTGGTGATGTACAAAGGGCACAGCCCAGGACATTGCTGCAGCCCTCCAACAAGGCAGGAAAATGATCCTTACGTTTTTTGCCATTGATGTGATCCAAGAAGTTAATGGAGTCTTTCACCACACAGTCACATACGTTACAGTAATACCTGGCAGCAGAAAGAGAGAAAATTAACTCCAAAGCACAAGACAAACCTCGTCTCACAGAGCAACTGTTTGAGATACTCTACAGTGTGAAGCCCGAGTGTCACTTGGGATGTGGGTCCTTTCTCTAGGGCATGAGGGAAGCTAATTCCAGTACAGAGAGCTCCAGTGAAGAGAGATGTGCACAACCCAGCCTGACAGAGTGGCCTGGGGTAACACTGGAGGTAGTGACCCTTTATGCTGATGCCACAAATCAAATGATGAGCTGATGTGTAACCCAAAGCCACAGCATCTTCCCCTCTAATTAGGGCCTGCACTTCTACCCCTGAATGCTTTCTGGGGCTCTGCATCTCCCTGGCACTGCTGGCTATTGGGCTGTGACAGTGACACACTGACAGGCTTGCTCTTTAGGTGGCACAAACTCAATGCATTCTATTCAAGCTCTTGGTGGCTTAGGGTGAGCTAAGAACCCTTCCAGCCTTCAGCCAAACACAGTCACAGAAACAATTGTCAAACACCATTCCTAAGGCCAGGTATGCGGGTGTTTCTCCCATTCCCAATGCACAGATATTGCAATGAGAAACTCAAATCTCACTGCAAGAAGAAACCCACGTGTCAGCAGAGATCTGCCTCAGTTGTTTCTACAGGTGAGCAACACTGTTATCAAGTAATAATCACAGAACCACAACCTGGTTTGTGTTGGAAAGGACCTTAAAGCTATTCCAGTTCCAACCCCTGCCACGGGCAGGGACACCTTCCACTAGAGCAGGTTGCTACAAGCCCCTGTGTCCAACCTGGCCTTGAACACAGACAGGGCACAGACTGGGGCAGCCACAGCTTCTCTGGGCACCCTGTGCCAGCGCCTCAGCACCCTCACAGGGAAGAGCTTCTGCCCAAGAGCTCATCTCAATCTCCCCTCTGGCAGGTTAAAGCCATTCCCCTTGGCCTGTCCCTACAGGCCCTTGTCCAAAGCCCCTCTCCAGGTTTCCTGGAGCCCTTTTAGGCACTGGAGCTGCTCTAAGGTGTCCCCTTCAGGAGCCTTCTCTTCTCCAGGCTGACCCAGCCCAGCTCTCTCAGCCTGGCTCCAAAGCAGATCTGCTCCAGCCCTCGCAGCAGCTTCGTGGCCTCCTCTGGACTTGTTCCCACAGTTCCATGTCCCTCATGTGTTGTTGCCCCAGGGCTGGATCAGAACTGCAGGGGGGGCTCAGGCTGCTGCGTCTCTTCCATACATTACCCCAGCAGACCCAATTTAGGTGTGAAAACACAGGAGGAAATCAGGACCTGGTGTAGAAGAAGGGCTCCCTGCTGCATCACAGCCCCTGGGCTCACCAGCACACCTCTGAGGCTCCAACAGAAAGACACCTAAAAAAACCCCTACCCTCCCATCTCTGACTGAGGGGTGGTTTTGGTGATGACAATGGTTTTCCCCAGCTTCGATTCCAAGTCCACTTTGTAGTCCCGGTGCCGCAGAAGTTCCCTTTTGACGGGCTGAGCTGGTTTGCCTAAAACACAGCAAAAAGGCAAAGCGTTTCTCAGAACAGGTCAAGCTCACCACGTCGAGTTCATGTTGCCCTTGCTGAAGAGGGGTGCTGGAAACTACTTGATTCAGGCACAGACTGCACTCTCAAAACCAGTAAAGGATTATTTCCTCCCATCTAGTTCCTGGTTCTTATTAAACCCAGGCCAATTTCTCAGGCATCTCCAGCTCTGACTTGGGTCATATTCTGAGATCTTGTCTCCATGGGCTCACTGCTCCTCTCCCTCCCCAAAGAATGGGCAGAGGCAAAGGTTCTCAGCAAGTACTTTTGGCAAAACAATATATTCATTGACAAGCACAAGAAAAAGGATTGGAGCAAGCCAGCCATCAACTGCTGCTACTTCCCTTCGGGATTTCACTGTTAGCTGCTCTCCCCCTCTCCAACTGAAAGGATTTGAGTGACTGGCAGCCAGCTGAGCAGAGCTGCGTGCACTCAGCTGCAAACTACTCACCATCTTTCTTTTCTCTCTCTTCTGTGAGCCTCTTTTCTGCAAGTTTCTCATACTCATCTTTGTCCCACTTTCGGCGGAAGTCCAAGTTCTTGGTCTGAGGAGGAAACAAAGTGTATTAATGTTATTGAAGAGTTTGAGAACCTCTGAGGGGAGGCTGGGGAAAGAGGTGGAATCACTTGGCCTCCAAGGCCACAGCAGTGAATTTGGGGCACTACGTTATGTGTTTTCATACAGAGGAATTAAGGATTTAGCTTCAGAGAATAACTCCCAGCCTGTCTGTAGCTACTTGTTCTAGAAGGATTTCAAAGCCCTGAAAAAAGTAATGAGTTTATGTTAACAGCTCCCGAGATGATCATTCAGGCTTTTGCTTTGAAAACCAGACACAAACAGCATCTCAACTGATTGATCCAAGGCCTCAGCAGTGCCCCTGACAAACATTACACATGCTGCTTCCTAAAGTCAATTAAACCCAAGCTGCAAATATCACATGAGAAAGGTGTGAAACACAACACAAGCTACAAAGGGTTTGATTAAACGCAGGAGTAGGGTAGGTGATGTGTGCCTACTCTCAGCAGTGTGTCTACACATTACAGGAATCAAAGCACTGAGTTTGCTGTGAAATCACAGGAACCAGTATCATAGAGTCCCAGACTGGTTTGTGTTGGAAGGGACCTTAAAGCTCATCCAGCTCCAACCCCCGCCATGGGCAGGTACACCTTGCAC